AGACGGGCTTTTCTTCCTGCTGGAGGAGTCTAGTTGAAACTTCACAGCTCTGATCTGTTTTACACTTCAAGTGGTTCCAGATATTGGCAGTCTCTTTTCTGTGGTGGCTGGTTATAGTCCTTTAGCCTATGAATAGCTAAAGCAGACGTAGATGTGCTAGGAGTCACTAGGGTTCTACAAATGGACCTAAAAGTTCTTTAGGAGCCAGGGTACACCTTCATCTCGGTGCAGGTGGTAGGACAGTGCCATGATGGGACAGCACTTCACAAATCCAGTAGGCAGGTAGGAGCTGGAACAGGAGACTGCAAGCATCATAGGAGGACCTGGCTGATAGGTGGTGGTCTGAGTCTGTCAGGTTGCAGACCAATCTCATTCCTTTTGTGGACTGCACCCAACAGAAGCGAGGCAGCCAGGACCCTTTGTCAAATAGTGCTGGTCAGTAACATGGCCATCTCAGGAGCTGGAAGCACCACAGGTTAGCTTTTTGCTGTAATTAGAAGATCACAAGGAACCCCAGCTCAGCTCAGTGTTCAAGTCCATGCTGAAAGTTGGAGGTAGGTTGGGAGCAAAGAGGGGTGCTAAAAGCTTGGCACCACAGCTCTTCCCCTGAAATAATGTATTAATCTTGTATTAATGTCGTACTGCACCTTTGTTCCAGGAGGTTGGCTGCAGGAGAGTCATGACAGATCTTCAATGCACAGTACAATACATCAGCTCAGAGCTGAGCTGATCTTTGGGGTAGACAAAAACCAGGTTCTAGCACTTCTCTCAGGTGGAGCTGTTACTTTGGACTTGGCGTTTTCACTTGCTGGCTTGGTGCTGGTAATTGGGTACAGGATAGCAACTTGCTGGTCATGACAGGCAAGATGTCAGTATATGGCTTCACGATGTGTTCTCTGCTTGCTCACTGAACTTCTTGAGTCTGACAGTGATACGGGGGTTACAGTTTCATTAGAGTGAATGTAGGTCTGGAGAAGAAATTGGTGGGTTTGGTGTTGATTTAGTTGATTTTCCCCATAGTTATTTAAGATGTGTTTGTTCCAGAACTATGTGGACTGGAAGATGTGATTTTCAGATACTGCAGTTGTTTCCCTTATGACAAGGAGTTTGTTGCCCATCTCGGTTCTGCTTCTGTGGCACAACCTTAGGTGAGCAGAACATGCAGTTATTCTGAAGAGCCACTGCAGTTGCACAGCTGGAAGCTGTAGAAGTCCATACAGGTAAGCTTTTTGCTGTATTTGGGCACACGAGCTCATGTCTGGCTGCTGTGATCTCTTCAGCTGGTGGTGGCAAGGCTGGACTAAACTTGTTGCTGTGCTGTGGATCTTAGGCAAGCATGAACACCACTTCTGAGAAGGCTTCAGGCAACATCGTACTGATTATCTGTTGAGGCTGCATCTCTTTTGATAGAGGAGTGCCACCTTTGAACCTGTACTTAAACGACGGAATAGCTGAGGAGGTCTGGTCTCGTTTGGTCTGGTCAGGTCCAGGTGTCTCAGGACTGATGTTGCTATAGCACTGGTTGACACGGGTAAAGCAATGGATGTCATTTTCCTGGACTTGTGCAAGGCGTTTGACACTGTCCCACGTGACATCCTTGTCTCTAAAATGGAGAGACACGGATTTGACAGATGGACCACTCGGTGGATAAAGAACTGGCTGGATGGTCGCACTCAAAGAGTTGTGGTCAAAGGCGCAATGTCCGCATGGAGACCAGTGTCAAGCGGTGTCCCTCAGGGGTCTGTTCTGGGTCCAGTGCTGTTTAGCATCGTTGTCAGCGACATGGATGACGGCATTGAGTGCACCCTCAGTAAGTTTACCGATGACACCAAGTTGTGTGGTGCCGTGGTCTCACTTGAGGGAAGAGATGCCATATAGAGGGACCTTGACAGGCTTGAGAATTGAGCCAGTGCAAACTGCA